AAAAAATCGCTAATAAAAAATCCCGATTTTCGACTAAGAAAAAATATCGTAGTATGCCCTGAAACTTTAATAAACATTTCAAATTTTGTCCCAAGGTAGACCTTTTAGTACTTGACATTTAAAAAAAATATTAAAATCGATTTACAACTTCAAATTTTAGGGGGGTGTTTCCATTAAAAATGGGTCACACTGTATATGCTGGATACAGGCAAAATTTTATTTCTGATTAAATGCGGTCTACAAGATTCCCTAGTATCTAATTTGTAAATCAAACGCAATACTCTCTTTTGGCAATAAAAATGTTATTTAAAGATGTGGAGCAACCCCATACAGCGATATTGTATGAGATGTGAGAATAAATTGTGGCATAATAAACATTCAAAAGCTGATCAGTACTGAGTGTGGATAAAAGTTGCTGTATAACATAATAACCACAGTTCACTTTCTTTCTGACCTGACTCACAGCTGACTCCCAAGTCATGTTACCAAGGAATTTTGTATTGTCTGACGAAATCACATCACGACTACTTACTCTGACTCGAAAATCGGTAATTTTCCTGACAGTTCTAGAGTAGAACTGCCTCAAAACAGTCTTACTGGGGTTTACAACCAAGAAGTTTTTGCAGTACCAATCTGTAAATGCGTCAGACAGCTCATTGAGTTTAACATGGACTTCCTCCGGGCTTTCAGCATCTGCAGCAAGTGTTGTGTCGTCTGCATATAAAATTATTCGGTTTGTATTCACATGTTTCGGCATATCATTGATGAAAGGTAGGAACATCAAAGGTCCCAAAATGGATCCCCGAGGGACTCCATATTCATTACTGCATGATTGTAATCATTGTAGTCATCATATTTCACGCACATCTTTCTATCTTTGCGTTCTTTCTCCAGCCATGAAAGAACATTTCTTCTAAATCCTAGCGAGAATAATTAACTCAGGATTATATCATGATTGATGATATCAAATGCCTTGGATAGGTCGAAAAAAGAGCACCCACGTAATTTTTCTTATCAAGGGCATCATAGACATAATCAAAAAACTCGTTTAAAGCACTTTCAGTCGACTTTGATTGATTGCGACAGAAAATAGAGTCGCGCTTATGAGTTAACCTCATGGGATTCCGATCTCTAAAGAACGCTCCTTTGACAAATGGTTTCCGATTTCTGCCTTAAAGTAACGAATGGATAGAAATGTTTCGACAAACTTAGGAACCTTCTTTACTGATCAATTTGCGTAAAGCTACATCTGGGAAAACTCATCAACTCACCTCAAATGACAGGGATACCCCTCGACCACGACCACAGTTACCGCGCTCAGGATGCACATCAAAAACACCTTGGTCACCTCAAGGCCGCTTTCCAGTCCTTCGATATCTTGATGGTACAGCAATAGCATCAACGAGCTCACTCCTATCAGGAGCATGACAGTCATGATCACAAACCTCCTGCTACTGATGAACCCCTGAAAGACTAGGAAGATAGCCATCAACAAGGACCATTTTAGGGTCTCGACGTGGAGGTCCTCTAGGTAGATGTTGTAATCGAAGCTGAGGGTACAATCGGAAATAACTGACAAGAAGGTACTGTTGACGAGGGAGCAGTTCATGAAGAGGTGTGCTGTGAGGTCGGTATCGATGAATCTGAAATAAAAGATGATTTCTCAGTAAAAGAAGTCATGGAAGAATACTAAATAAGTAACTAAATATGTGTGAAACATTTGAGGAGGTGATTCCTCATCGAAAAAAAAGATAGGATCTTTCATATAAAGAAATCTCATTGGAGCATATTATTTCGGAAATAATCCTAATGCCAGTATAAGGAATGCCACTTTAGATTTGAATATTCCACGAGAAACTATTCGGAGATGTCTCAAGGCAAAGAATATTAAACCTTTCAAGCCAAAATTTTTACACACACTTCAAGAAGGCGACGAAGCAAGACGCCTGGAATATTGTTTATGGGCCCAAGGGGAATATTTAAACAATAGAAATTT